TTCCGGGTGTCCTGAGCCCTCAGCTGACACAGGCAGGACCAGGGAAGCAGGGCTTGGGGTGGGCGAGCAGCAGCTGTCGGTCAGTAGTTCAATCTGATCTACGCGTTCAGCTCCTTCCGGTGAAAATCCTGACCGGGTTTATGTTTTATCTGTTGTTTGTTTTGGGACTTACCAGCTGATCCTAAAATTTATGCTGAAGCTGTGGGTTTCAAGGGTAGCCCCTGCCCGGCGGGCGTGCTCAGTGGAACGTGCCCTGTCCTGTGCTCCAAGAGGCCACTGGCTCGATTCCTGGTCAGGGGGTACATGCCCGGTTTCAGGCTTCATCCCGGGAGGGGACATGCAGTAGGCAGCCCATTGATGTTTCTCTCTCGTCAATGTTTCCATCTCTATCCCTCTCCCTTCTCCCTCTAAACTATAAAAAAAAAAAAAAAAAAGAGTAACCCAGACCCCCTGGCAGAAAGAAGTGGGAGAAATGTTCCAGAAGGAAATTCCAGCCTCTGACAGACGTATAGTCACTAAGGCAGTGTAACGCCTGGGAGTCCCTTGACGATGGGAGGAGATGAAGTCGGTGGCCTTGAGGGACTTCCATCCCTGCCTCAGTTTCCTCCCCTGAGAGTGGCAGTCCAGTGGGATGGTCTGCCCGAGTAGGAGTGGTAGCTGAGGGGTCAAGCTGAGAGGCCCAGCCACAGAGGACAGGTCCTCTGGGTGGGACCTATCACTTTATCGATTTATAAATTGAGGCTCAGGACAAGGCACTGTTCCCCGCCCCCGTGGGCGTGCACGCATGTCGCAAGGCTGCAGGCAGGAAGCATGCCCCTCTGCAGGCACGCAGATGTGTGGGTGCATGGGTGCCCTGCACGGCATGGGGTGCACATGCTGGCCACACGCTTCCATGCCTGGTGGCAGCTCCCGGTGACCAGGTGCTGGGGCAGGTGGTGGGGCGGCTTCCCGGCAGGCGGGCGCCAGGCGGCTGCTAGCAGCGGCGCCTCAAGTTTCATGGAGAGAAGCAGATGGTCTTAGGGGGCCTGGGGGAGGTGCTAAGGCTTCTGGTAACCCCAGGTGGGGGGGGGGCTGAGGCCAGGTGCAGTGGGTTGGCCCTGAAGTAGCCCGGACTCCCCTAAAGGAGTCTGTGGGGTTTAGTTCTGTATCATCACCATCAGAATAACTAACGTAAGACACACAGCAACAGCCTCACACTCGTTAGGATGGCGACGGTCAGAAAACAGGCAGTGAGAAGTGGAGGCAAGGATGTGGGGGATCGGGACACTGCGCTGCTGGTGGGAATGTGAGTGGTGGAGCCACTGTGGAAACAGCATGGCTTTTTCCAAAAAAGAAACACATAGAATTACCGTATGACCCAGCAGTATCACTCCTGGGCGCATACCCAAAGGCATGGGAAGCAGAGTCGCAGAGAGATTCGCACGGCCCTGTTCACAGCAGCGTTATTCACCGGAACCAAGAGGTGGGCAGCCCATATCCATCCACAGATGATGGACACACAGTGCGACCCATCCGCACACGTCAGTCCTGACACCTGCTACAGCACGGATGAGCCTCGAGGACATGGTGCTCAGTGAAGTCAGCCAGACACGGGAGGGCAGAGACTGTGATTCCGCTCACAGGAGGTCCCCAGGGGAGTCAGATCCACAGAGACAGAGAGTGGATGGGGGTGCCAGAGGCTGGGGGAGGGGGAGGTGGTGCTTAAAGGGAACAGAGTTTCAGTGTGGGGACGTGAAAAGGTTCTGGAGACGGATGGTGGGGATGGCTGTCCAACATTGTGAATGGACTTACTGTCACTGCACAGGACACATAGGAGTGGTTAGGATGGTCCTGCCCAGGTCGCTCAGTGGTACAGCATCAGCCCGAGCACCAGAGGGTCACGGGTCCCATTTCCGGTCAAGGGCACATTCCTGGGTTGCAGGTTCCTTCCTCCCTCCTTGGGCATCTGTGGGAGGCAACCAATCCATATGTCTCTCTCTCCCCTCTCCCCCCCCCTCTCTCTCTCTCTCCCTCTCTCGCTCTCGCACTCGCTCTCCCTCCCACTTTCCCTCTCCTTCCCTGCCACTCCCTCTAAAAAATCAATGGGAAAAGTATCCATCATTAATGAATGTAAAAAATGTTGTGTGTGTTTTTTTAAAAAAAGGGCACAGAGCAGACAGAGGACCGGAGAGATAAGGGGTACTCTGGCAGGTGTTGTAGGGGAAGGGGGTGAGGTAGGCAAGAGTGGGTCTGGCAGTGAAGTTGTTATTTTAAATTATTATCCCGACGGGAATTTGGGGGCAATAATGAAGGTCCCGGCCGCTGCGGCTCATAAGCGCCATCTGGTGGCGGATACAGGCCACGCCGCTCACCGCCCCCCCTCTCGCCCGCAGGTGTCACCTCCTGTCCTCGCCATGCGGACCCCGCGAGCGCCCCCTCCCCGCCTGGCCCTACTGCTCCTGCTGCTGCTGCTAGGGGGCGCCCACGGACTCTTCCCTGAGGAGCCGCCGCCGCTCAGCGTGGCCCCCAGGGACTGTGAGTGGGGGTCCTGGGCGAGGGGGGGTCCGGAAGGAGAGTCTTGTTCCCCAACTGAGCCCGCCGCCCCCCTCCCTCAGGGACTTACGAGGCCAGGCTCACCCCGGCCCTAAATCACACTCCTCTTCCCCAGACCTGAGCCACTACCCTGTGTTCGTGGGCAGCGGGCCGGGACGCCTGACCCCCGCAGAGGGCGCTGAGGACCTCAACATCCAGCGGGTCCTGCGGGTCAACAGGACGCTGTTCATTGGGGACAGGTAGGGGGAGTGTCCGGCAGAAGGCAGGGCGGGAGCCTTTGGGGGAGGTTCCATGGTGGGGCTTATTGTTGGGCCGGGTGTGAATGTGTGGACCTCGGGTGGCACTTTTAGGGGTGCTGGGCTCGGGGTGTGGTTGGAGCCGGGTGCCTGCTATGGGGTGTTAGCAGATGGGGACAACTGTTCGGTCAAAAGTCACCGGGTGCCTCCGGGGGTGCTGGGGAGGTGGATTTGGTTTGAAACCTAAATGATGAGGAGGCAGCCGGGAGGAATCTGGGGGAGAGGGGAACATCTGGGCAGAGGGCAGGGGGCAGAGGGCAGAGGCCGGGACTGTGCCTGGCAGGTTAGAACAGCAAGGAAGTCTGCATGGCTGAGCACAGTGAGAGGGGGAGAGAGGAGGAGGTGAGGGCAAGAGGAGACAGAGGCAGGTGGTTCAGGGCCTCCTGGCTTGAGGGGAAGGCGGGTTTTTACCTGGAGGCAGGCGGGAGCCCTGGAGGGCTGTAGGTGAAGGGAGGGAGCCCGACTTAGGTGCTCACCGTCGCCCTCTGGTGGCTTCTTTGGGGAGGCAAGTTGGAGAGACTGAGCTGGATGGACCAGCTGGGAGACGATGGGGCTGGAATGGGGGGTGGCCATGGAGGGGGGAGAAGTAGGTGGATTCTCAATAAACATTAAAGGCAGGGGAGACTGATGTGTTGGATGTGGGAGGGAGGAGAGGAGGGGAGTTGAGGGTGACTTCCAACTTGTGGTCTGCACCCTCAGAGGACAGAGCTGGACAGAGGAAGGTCAGAGGTGGGAGACAGAGGGAAGGGGGGTCCCAGTTTGGGGGAACAGTCGGGCTCAGAATGGCCGCACTGAATGTGAAATGCCTGTGAGCCCTCCGCGTGGCGCCGCCCAGGAGCCCCCGGCCCCCGAATCTGGACCTCGGAGGAGGCCGAGCTGGAGACAGGACTGCGGGCCTGGTCATGAGGGTGCAGTCAGTATTAGAGTGGACGAGGCCACCCAGGAGGGTGGAGGAGGCAGGAGGCCAGAGAGAGTCTGAAAGGTAGGAGGGAAGCCTGGTGAGTTTGGGGGGCGGGGTCCTTGTGAGAATGAGTTCCCAGGAGGAGGGGAGCCCTGCGGGGGCCAGACACTGTGGAGAGGGGGAGGGGGACAGAGAAGTGACTGCTGTACTTCACACCAGTTGGCCAATGACCTTAGCAGGGCAGGTTTCCATGACATGGGGGGGAGGGGTGAGCCTGGGGTAGACTGAGAGGTGCTGAGGGGGCACCTGATGAAAGGCATCGGACAGTTCATCATGTCAGTGTAACCCCAGGACAGCGGGTGTCGCTCGAGGTGGCATGCGAAGGCAGGCGGCTGTGCTAGAACTATGGAGTCTTTGTAGGGCATGAGGACACGTGCTGGGGTACACACACGCATGTGAGGGATTGTCCAGTGTTGTGTCCATGCCCCAGGGGGTGGAATGTGGGGAGAGTGGAGGCCTCCAATCTCACTAACCGCACCCCTCCCTCAGGGACAACCTGTACCGGGTAGAGCTGGAGCCCCCCACCTCCACGGAGCTTCGGTACCAGCGGGTGAGGATGGGGCGCAGGTGGGAGGAGGAGGGGACAGCCCTTGGGGCGCCCACCAGAGGGAGCTGACATGACAATGGGGAGCAAGATGGACTCGGGCCTACCTGGCAGGGGTTCCTAGGGCTGTTGGGTACCCCTTACCCCTCACCAGCTCCCTGTGCCCCCAGAAGCTGACCTGGCGCTCCAACCCCAGCGACATCAATGTGTGTCGGATGAAGGGCAAGCAGGAGGTGAGTGGGCCTTGGTCATGCCCCCCCGAATCAGCCATGACCACGCCCAAGCCACGCCCCCATTCAGCTGGCCACACCCAAGGCAAATCCTCCTCCCCCTTCATCCCAGGCCTGGACCCCATGTTGTCATGGCTAAACCCTGAGCCTGGCCACGACCCCCAAATGGTCCCAGTCATGGCCACGTCCTTAGGCTAGGTCTTGCCATGGCCGCATCCCTTCAATGGCCGCGGATGGAAAGTAGGTATGGCCATGCCCCATCTCGGCCTATTCTAGCTGTACCCCGCCCCTGATGGTGCTGAGACCTGGACACGCCCACACACGGCCCCGCCCTGTACGTCTCCACCTCGGTCCTGGTCCTCCTTTGCCCTAGCCGCCCCCCCCATTAAGGCCCACAGCACTGCTGTGCCCCCCAACATGACCACACTTCTCTCTCCCCTCCCCACCCCAGGGCGAGTGTCGAAACTTTGTAAAGGTGTTGCTCCTGCGGGACGAGTCCACCCTCTTTGTGTGCGGTTCCAACGCCTTCAACCCCCTGTGCGCCAACTACAGTGTGAGTCTCTGCCCTCGAAGTCCCGGCGGCCCCAGGCCCAGCTTCCAGGCCTTTGCTCTCCTGCCCTCCACTAGCGTGCCCGTCCCCCGCCCACACAGCCTCCTCCCAGAGCCTTACTGGGTCTGTCCTCCCCACCGCCTCACCCACAGCTCAGGAGGCTTCCCAGGGAGGCCCGGTTAAGGTCAGGAAGCCCTAGTTATTTGACCTATGACCCAGTAATAGGGTTCACTGGAGTCAACTCTTAGACCCATTTAGAGATCAACAAACTGAGCCCCGGAGAGGTTCCGTGACTGGTCAAGTCACACAGCATCCAAGGCAGAGACAGGATTCCCCTTGGAGGGAGGTCTCGGGGAGCCATGGGGCTGCCGGGTGTGGCCGAGCTCGGTCGCTCAGGCCCTGTCCCCCTGCAGATAGACACACTACAGCCCCTCGGGGACAACATCAGTGGCATGGCCCGCTGCCCGTACGACCCCAAACACGCCAACGTCGCCCTCTTCTCTGGTGAGTGTCCCCCCAGCTCTGGCCATCTGATAGGCCCCAGCCCCGAGCAAGGCCTGGTATTTTCCACTCTTGGAGTTGGGGTCATGTAGACGGTGGCTGGGAGACTGTCCAGCTGTGAGACAGGCAGAACCTCAGCCTGGAGTCGGGGCTCAGTGGGAGTTGGGGTTCAGCGGGGCTCAGGGCCTCAGCAGGGTTGGGGCTCAGCCTGGGCTCAGGGTTTAGATGGGGTCAAGGCCCAGCCTAGAGGCAGGCTCGCTTCGGCTCAGTGAGGTAGACTGAGCGTGTGGGAAGATCAAGCATGGACGCACACAACCTCTGGCCTCTGCGACCCAGCCGCTCACCTGCTCCCCCCCATCACTCCCATCCAGAAGGAATGCTCTTCACAGCCACCGTGACCGACTTCCTAGCCATCGATGCTGTCATCTACCGCAGCCTTGGAGACAGACCCACGCTGCGCACCGTGAAACACGACTCCAAGTGGTTTAAAGGTGGGATGGACATTCGTCGAATCCCACCACCGCCCCACCAGAATAGGAGTCCCAGAGGAGACAGGGAGGGGACTCCCATCTCATCTTTGGAACCTACTGGCCTCTTTAGAGATAAAGCCAGAGACAAGATTGGTCCTGGCCAGTTGGTTAAAGCATCATCCCAATGTGCCAGGGTTGCAGGTTCGATCCTGGGTCAGGACACGTACTAGTATCAACCAATGAGTGCATAAATAAGTGGAACAGCAAATCAGTCTCTCTCTCTCCCCCCACCTCCTCTCGCTCTAAAATCAATGTTTAAAAGGCTATAGGAAAGATTGAAGTTGGATCTAAAGTAGAACTTGATGGGAATGGGTGGCTTGGGAGCCCAAAATGGAACTACAAGAGGGAGAGAGCAGCAGCTCAGGTCTTTGCCACCTGAGGGAGGAAGGTGAAAGAAAATAGTAGTCGTTGCTGTTTGTGGAAGGTAGACACTGCGACATTAGGATTCTGACACTTCCTCTTCCCGCAAAACCCCAAAGCTTTGCGTCTGTTTCCCTTCGCCTGGGTGACCAACGTACGTCCCCCCTTCACCATAAGAGCAGCCACCCGGCTGATGTGTGCCCAGCCCCAGAAGCACCTTTCTCAGGTCAGGGGCTGGGTGCTGACCCCTCCTCTCCCATAGAGCCCTACTTTGTGCATGCGGTGGAGTGGGGCAGCCACATCTACTTCTTCTTCCGGGAGATCGCAATGGAGTTTAACTACCTGGAGAAGGTAACGCCCCACTTCCCCTCCCAGAGAGGCATCCATTCATCACACATGCATCCATTCATTATCTCCTTCATCACCCACCATTATCTCCTTCAAATCATTCATTTACCCATCTATCATCCATCCATCCACCAATCATCCATCCACCCATTCCTCCATCCATTCCTCCATCCCTCTGCCTGCCCGTCCATTGCAGCAGCCAGACAGTAGGTGCAAAGACTGCCATTTCCCACTAGTGTGACCTTGGGCCGGTCACTTCCCTTTCCCTGTGCCTCAGTTTCTCCACCTATACAATGGGGATATCAGTAGGCCCTCCCTGGTAGAGCTTTGGGAGGAAAGTAAGAGCTGATGAGAATAAAGTGAACGGTCTGTAAGTGCACCTGGTGAGTATCATGACTGCCACGTTGCTAGGATCCTATTGCCAATCCCCATATTTCCACCGGGGACTCTGACGTCCAGAGAGGTGCAGTGACCACAGGACCCCACAGTGAGCCAGGGCCAGGCTCCTCCATCCCAGCCCGGGTGGTGGGCAGGGTGGCCTTCGGAACTCAGGGCTCAGGCCCCGCCTGTCCGCTGTCCCCCCAGGTGGTGGTGTCCCGCGTGGCCCGGGTGTGCAAGAATGATGTGGGGGGCTCCCCGCGCGTGCTGGAGAAGCAGTGGACGTCCTTCCTGAAGGCGCGGCTCAACTGCTCTGTGCCCGGGGACTCCCACTTCTACTTCAATGTGATGCAGGCCGTCACGGGTGTGGTCAGCCTGGGGGGCCGGCCCATAGTCCTTGCCATTTTCTCCACCCCCAGCAACAGGTCAGTGAACATTGACCGAGTGGACTCGGGGCCCCGGGTGGACAGGAGTGGCCAGGTCCAGCATTCACTCGCTGCCTATAGTCCTAGGCTGGGCAAGATTGGACCCCCACGAGGCACTGACCCCAGACCGCAGTAGAACAAAGCCACACTGACCCTCCAAGAGCCTTTGGTCAGAACTGGGCAGATGGGGACATCAACACCCCCTGCCTTTGAAGGAGGGGGTCAGAGAGAGTGCCTGGAGGAGGGGACATGGGAACTAGCTTCAGTAGGTGTGAGGTGGAGGAAAAGGGAAGAGCATTCCAAGTTGGAGGAACAGCATGTGCAAAGCTGTGAGGATACCATGAACTTGGTGTGTTTAAACAAGAGAGGAGCCCATGTGGCTGGAATAGAGGGAGCAACCGGGAGAGTGAGAGTGTGAGGGCAGGGAGGTGACGGGCTGCAGAGAGGAGCCTGGGTTTTACCCTGGAGCACCAGGGAGCCATGGAAGAGCGAGGAGCAGAAGGAACGGTTGTAAGGAGGGAGGAGTGATGTCTGGGAGACTGGACAGTCAGGCACACGACAGTGGAGGCCAGGACACGGGTGGTTGCAGAGGAGCTGAAATAGGATACCGTCTTAACACGGTTCAGGCGGCAGTGACTGGATGGGGCTGGTGGGTGACACGCCAGCTCAGGGGACTGAACATCGGACAGCTCCGGAGGACAAGGACTCCTCCACACACTTGCCTGAGGCAGCGCCTCCACCAGGCTCACCGCTCCCTCCCATCTACTTCCCCAGCATCCCCGGCTCTGCCGTCTGCGCCTTTGACATGACACAGGTGGCAGCTGTGTTTGAAGGCCGCTTTCGAGAGCAGAAGTCCCCGGAGTCCATCTGGACACCTGTGCCCGAGGATCAGGTGCCTCGGCCCCGGTGAGCGCCCCTCCATCCCCAGACAGGTGCCGGGGTGGGCCTGTCCCCACGACCGAAGGCTGGGGACTCCCGGGTCGTTATCTGGCTGTTGCCGAGTTCCACTGCACCCATTACACAGATGAGGGAAACAAGCCTTGGGGCAGGGCCTTGGGTCCCATGGAGAATCAGAGCCCCTATGTGGGGACCCCTGAACTGCCCTGACCACCCCCTCACCCCCCAGGCCTGGGTGCTGTGCAGCTCCCGGCATGCAGTACAACGCCTCCAGCGCCTTCCCTGATGAGATCCTCAACTTCGTCAAGACCCACCCCCTGATGGACGAGGCGGTGCCCTCACTGGGCCATGCGCCCTGGATAGTACGAACTCTGACACGGTCAGTCCCACGTGTGGCTGGGATCCTTGTGGGGCGGAGGGTGAAGATGAAAGCCCAGGACAGGATGGCGGGTGGGGAAGGAGGGCGGGGCTGACTGTGTATGCGAGGGGGGCGGTGGAGAGCAGTGTTGCTGGAGACAGCATACAGCTCTGAAGACTGGCCGGAGACACAGAGGGGCAGAGACACAGAGAGGGAGAGAGACGCACACAGAGAGAAGGAGACAGAGACACAGAGAGGGACACAGTGAGGGACAGAGAGATTCAAGGAGAGAGAGAGACAGGCCCAGTGGGAGCCCAGGGTGGGGTCTGTTTTGGAGGAGGGTTGGGTGTAGCCCTGTACCCACACCAGTGCCCACCTTGCCTGGTGTGGGCGGTGTCTCTGTGTCTGCCCAGTGGGGGTGGGACCGAAGGGGCTGTGGTGCCAGACTGACCCCCCTCCCCGGCCACAGGCACCAGCTGACTCGAGTGGCTGTGGATGTGGGCGCCGGCCCCTGGGGCAACCAGACCGTCGTCTTCCTGGGCTCCGAGGCGGGCACCATCCTCAAGTTCCTGGTCTGGCCCAACGCCAGTGTCTTGGGCACCTCTGGGCCCAGTGTCTTCCTCGAGGAGTTCGAGACCTACCGGCCAGACAGGTGGGGTCTGGCAGAGGCCAGGGGGCAGAGCCGGTGGCGGTGGGGCACAGCCCGAGCCTCACTGATCTGCTCGCCCCCAGGTGTGGCCGGCCAGGTGGCAGTGCGACGGGGCAGCGGCTGCTGGGCCTGGAGTTGGATGTGGCCTCAGGAGGCCTGCTGGCGGCCTTCCCCCACTGTGTGGTCCGTGTGCCCGTGGCCCGCTGCCAGCAGTACTCAGGGTGCATGAAGTGAGTGCCCCGGGCCCACTGCTGGGGGTGCATGTGGGGGGCGGGGTTGAAAGGAGATGAGCATGGGAAGAGGGGAAGGGCTGAGTCTGAGTTAAAGGGCCCAGCAGCAGCCTGACTTGTTGCAAGATGAGTGGGGCAGAGGGCACAGCACGTGCAAAGGCCCTGGATGGGACCATGACCTGGGTTTTAGAGGAACAGTGAGGAGGCCCATGTGGCTGGAGAGGAGTCAGTGAGGGAGGAGGTGAGAGCAGGGAGAGGATGGGGGCAGGTCATGCAGGGCCTTGTGGGCCATGGGGAGGACTTGGGTGTTTGCCCCAAGGGAGGTAGGGCCCTGGAGGCCTGCGGGCAGAGGAGGAGTGGGACCTGAGTGACATTGTTAAAAAATATATTTTATTGACTTTTTACAGAGAGGAGGGGAGAAGGATAGAGTTAGAAACATCGATGAGAGAGAAACATCGATCGGCTGCCTCCTACACACCCCCTACTGGGGATGTGCCCGCAACCAAGGTACATGCCCTTGACCGGAATCGAACCTGGGACCCTCCAGTCCCCAGGCCGACGCTCTATCTACTGAGCCCAACCGGTCAGGGCCTGAGTGACATTTTTAAGAGCAACAGGAGCAGAAGCTGGGGTCCAGGGAGGGGCTGTTTTCCCACCTTTAAAATGGGTGGAAACCAGATGCAAAGTACTGGCCCCCCCTGAGCTCCGTGGGAGCCCCCCACCCTGAGAAACCCCGCCTGCACCGCCATCCAGGCAGGAGTGACGGCATTGCACAGAGCCAGACACACACTCTGGGGCAAGCCTGCTGGGCTCCGACCCCGGCTCTGCTGCTCGGGCAAAAGTGAACTTCCTCGGCCTCAGTTTTCTGATCTGTAAAATGGAGAAGGAGCAGCCCCCACCGCAGAGACTCTGGCCAGGACTCCGGGGCTGCAGGAGGTGGCACGGTGCAGGAGGCCGTGGCTGATGCCGGTCCCCTGTCTGCCCTAGGAACTGCATTGGCAGTCAGGACCCCTACTGCGGGTGGGCCCCCGATGGTTCCTGCATCTTCCTCAGCCCTGGCACCAGGTACTGAGGGGGGGAGGGGAGGGGGTGTAACCCGCCTGCTGACCAGGGTCCCTCCTCCCCTCTGGCTCCCTGAGCGGGGCTTCTGCTGACTGTCTCTGCCTTGCCCCCATCAGGGCCACCTTTGAGCAGGACGTGTCCGGGGCCAGCACCTCAGGCTTAGGGGACTGCACAGGTAAGTGGGGGAACGGGAGACCTGGGGACCCTCCCCTGGGGTCCTCATGCCCTTCGCAGCCCATGTCCAGGTGGGGGGCACGGACTAGCTTTGGAAGGTCAGGGGGTCTCACTCCCGGGTAGAGAGGTAGGTGAGGAACAGAGAGGCCCAGAGACAGACAGACAGACGGGTGAACCGAGGGGACAGAGATGCCCGGGGACAGACAGAGGCCCGGACAGGCAGACAGAGGCTGGAGACGGATGCCAAGTGACAGAGATGCCACAGGACAAGCAGATGAACAGAGTCTGCGAGGACAGACAGGCCCCAGGGAAACAGAGGCGCCGCGAGGCAGGCAGACGCGAGGCAGGCAGACGCGGCGGAGGCCGG